TATCCTGAGTAGTTCGTTATGAACCTGTGATATCCTTCATAACTGTAATGCAGTAAGATCCTTCATAACTGTAATGCAGAGATGATGCTGAGGAGCAAAATAACCATTTAGATTTGGCTGCTTGGTCACTAAATGGAGGTTTTGTGTACTTCTCACTGGTGGTTTTAATTTACCTATATTTTTGCATTACCGGGACAGGCAAACTTTCTTTATGCACTAAAGTCCTCCTTCCTCTATGATAAACAGTGAGATTTCCTCATGCTATTTTTTCGATCTCCTGAGAGAAAAACAGACAGTGTGGGTAGTAATGATTTTGGAGGTGTGAAGAGGAACATCTGGCCCATAAAGTTGCTCAAATGAGACATGATGATTCCCTGGGCACTATCCCTGTCCCAATTCAGTGAAATTTTGTGAGGAAGCACTGCTGTTATCCTTACAAAGGGATTAGAAGCAGGAATTTTAGAGATGGGAGACTGCTAAATCCTTTCTGTTCCAATTGTTTATTCTTTCAAAATGTGCCCTGCAAATGTTGCTCTTGCAGGATGTCCATATTTTTCTCTATAAGGCAGCAGCAGCCTGAAGAGTGCTGGGTTTTGCAAGAAAAAGAAAGCCTGTTTGTGTGTGACCACCTCTGTCATCTTTTGGTATTTGTGGAAGAATTAAAAACAAAGAAGAGATTGAGGCTGCTTGTGATGTAGTTTGGCCAGATTCTAGTTTGTTACTTTTTCTCTGTACATGGTTATGAAATCCAGGGTTTTGAAGCAGATGACTTTTTAGTGTATAATTAACAGAAACTTCGATCCTTCAATAGAGGAGTCTGTTGCCCAAGGCCAGTGGAGCACTTTCAATTTATTTTTTATTTTCCTTCATTGCAAGCCTTTTTAGCTAGAGCTTTTGAGAACTGGGTGCCTTTTAAAAAAATCTATTAGATGTACTATCCGTGTCATGAATAATAATCTGTGGATGTTTAGGAGGCATTTTTTTAAAGTATCAGCGATATACATTACCTGCACATTCTTTCTTTTAGGGCAATACTTAGACCTGTAAATCCCATGATAATCTGTGAGGCCTACTTCCAAATTATTGTGTGAAAAATTGCAGCCTTAATGCAAGATTATAGGCAAAATAGTACATCAATATACTAAAACACAGTCTCCCTAAATGAATGTGCTCATTAAAAAGGTCATGTAGAGGACTGCCATGTTTCACTTGCGGACTGAATGACTTTGTTGCCTCAGCCCACCTGTTTTTATTTTAACTGTGACATATTTTGAACCAGGAAACTTAAATATAGTAGTACAAAAACATTATTTTAGTGACTCACCAACAGCTTCATGTAGATTCACATCCAGAAACTTCCAGTGAATAGCATGGAATTTCTAAACATTATCTCAAGTACAATTGCAGGACTTCTCAGTTTTCATGTTGATAAATTGAAACCAGAGCTCTAGCAGCTCTCACTTTTATGCCACCATTGTAGCTTGAGCAACAGGTAGGCAGTCCTGTGTGCGGGACTATACTTTGATTGCCAGTTACATATCGCATTTAATTGTCCTGAGAAAATATCCTCCTCCCCTATGTGATGTTTTATATATTACCACTCCATCTCAAATCAGTAATATTGAAGGGTATTAGGACTACTTGAATTGTTCTCTATCTTCTTTTCCAAGGTATTGTGTATTCTACCTGCTTCACATCTTACTCCCGTTTTTACAGGTATTGGTGTGTGCCCTCTACTGTTCCACCCTCTCTACCTGTCAGTATCTGCGTGTAGGGAGACATATTCTGGAAGAGAGTGTTGCTAGCTGAAACACTGTATATGCAACATTTTTATACGGATCATATTTTGTTAAAAGACACACAATTGTAATGACCTGAATTAAGATCAAATACCTATGTGAGACTGTCAGATATTAAATCATATTATAATTCTGTTAATGGTATGAGTATTTTGGTTGGTGTTGTCATTTCTTATTAGAAAGGCTGCATAGATACATTTATTTGAACCTTGGGGGTAGGAGGACACAGAGGACCCCCCTCCCACAGTTCTGTGTTATGGTTTCAAAGCATGTCAGGTGTCTCCAATTATTATTTCTATATTCTTCCTCGGTTTCAAAGTTGAAAATAAGACAGGTTGCTTATATTTATAATGGAATGAGTGGAGTATTTGTCATGGTTAGCATGGCTTGGCATACTAAAGACTGTGATCCATCAACACATTCATTTGGGCTCCATACTCTCATTTCAAGCCATACTCCATCATATTATGTTCATATTTACGTCCTCACAGACACCCTTTTCTCTTTTTGTTATCTTCACTTGCTGGATCAAACTCTGAACTGTAAAAAATTGTTCAGCCATCAAATGTCTTCATTACTCATAGTTGCAAGGAGATACTGACAGGTATGATGAAGGAATGAAATCTGCTCTTTCACAATGTTGTATCATTTTAATGGCAACTATAAAAATTGCTTACCTGGAAAACTAATATTAGAAAAGTGATATATATATTTAGTAGTCTTTTGATGTTAAGCAGCAGCTGGGGGAAAAGCAGGCGGCCAGCTCAAATGATCAGCCAACTCAGATCACCAACTGTTTTGTGGGTCATCGGTCAGGTTTGCTGCTTTCATGTTTCAGATTGACAGGGACCGTCCATGAGTTTTACTTGTACCTAGCTTTTCAGGAATATTAAGATCTTTTGCTTTTAGTTCTGCCTTTAGGGGGAAATATCAAATTACAGATCTGAAAATTCATAACTGCAGGAAGATAACCTGCCTTAAGTAATTTTTAGTGAAACATTAGCAATGTATTAATATGAAATGTTATATTATGAGTATCTTAAAAGGTAATAGGTTTTTAAAAATTTCAAAAATGAATAGGCAATTCTAATATCATTGAGAACTGTAGCTAAAATACAGTAAATATGGAAGACATGGAAGTATATAGCTTATATTACATTTTTGCAGCATCTGTATCCATTGTTTATTTTTAAAAAACAAAATATTGACAACGGCAACCTTTTTTTCCTCAGCCTAAATCTAGGCATGTAAATGTTGAAAGTCTATCACATTTCGGGTTGTGCTCCTTTATACAATATTACAAACAATCATAGTTAGACAACTGAATATTTTGAGTGGAGAGTCTGGTTCCATGAGGGAGTGGGCATAGGCTATGTATTTTAAAGCCCTCAGTCAAAAAAAGTAGAACATACCAATGAAAGTGTGTGTTTAAAAACGTTGCTTTTGACCTTGACCTTGTATTTTCTATATTTCTTTTACTGCCTTTTCTACGTCTATCACATTTTGGTCAGAAAGTGTCTTCATAAATGTTTAAATTGTATTCTTCTTTGTGACTAGTCCTCGTGTGTCTTCCTTATTATTTTAAGTACCGTAATTGATTCACCAGATCATTGAGTAATGAATAATCTGGTCAAAACATCTACCACAAGGATGTATAATCACTTGCCTTTTTTGGACCCCCTCAGTGTCCCTGCCGGGGGTTTCTGTCCTTGCTTTAATACAATAATGAGGGAAATAAATGCATGGGATGAGACAGACTGGGCCAGTGGAAGGAAACCATCAGCCTCCTTTTCTGATGTGGACGTTGTGGTTGGATTCTTTATTCTAGTTCATTTTATGGGAAAAGGTCATATCGCAGTTCTGTTGACTGAGTTAAAATGTGATGAAGATATGTATGAAATAAGATTTCTGAGGAAGTGTGGCAAAGATAGGGAAATATTTGTATTTCCTCGCCATTGTGATTGCTCATAGATTTAGAAGTCATAGACTATGCATATATTGCTGTAGCTTGTTGAAAAGGTTTCAAATGAATGCATAAATCATGTGGCACAAAAGAATTTCCTTCCCTGATACTTTACTTTAACCAAAATATCCATTAAGTCTAGGTTTTTGAATTAGTAAATTTTGTGGAGCAGAATTTTTCTCTTCATTGAAGTGTTGCTATTTAATAGTTATGTACTTTTTAATAGTTTACTTTTGTTAGCAACAGTAATTCAGTCACAGTTGTTTTTGTTAATGTAGTCTTCTTTAATAATAATTGAAGTTATCTATGTACTAGATACTGTTAATGTGGCAAAAAGTACATTGGTGTTGACTCTTTCCACTCTGTTTGCAATTTTTCCTTGCATACTGAAATCCATGTCTTTGGTAATTGTAGTTCAAGCATGATAATTTGGGGTTTACAATATTATGTGAACATCATTTGTATATGTTGTTGTTTTAGGTAACAATAAAGCACAATATATTATGTAAAGCTTTTATTTAAATTAAGTAAAATTGGTTTGTCAGTGACGTTACATCACAGATGGCATCCAAAACCCTGCCCAATAATCTATGAACATTCATGTCCTATGTGTTGTCGAAGGCTTTCATGGCTTGAATCACTGGGTCGCTGTGAGTTTTCCGGGCTGTATGGCCATGTTCCAGAAGCATTCTCTCCTGACGTTTCACCCACATCTATGGCAGGCATCCTCAGTGGTTGTGAGATCTGTTGGAAACTAGGGAAGTGAGGTTTATATATCTGTGGAATGTCCAGGTCGGGAGAAAGAACTCTTGTCTGTCTATTTCAATGCTAATCAAGGTGGCCAATTGCAACATTCTCACTTGCCTCAAACAGACAAGAGTTCTCACTTGCCTAGTTTCCAACAGACCTCACAACCTCTGAGGATGCCTGCTATAGATGTGGGTGAAATGTCAGGCGAGAATGCTGCTGGAACATGGCCATACAGTCTGGAAAATTCACAGCAACCCATTTCATCTCCTACTTTTCCATTTTAGATGGGTTTTAATTTTTGTTGAAATTGATATTTGAAAGTACCTTGGGGACCCTGTTAACCATGTAAGGAAATAGGGATAAAAAAACAAGTTTCCACCAGCTTTTTATCTTGTCTGAATCTATTATTACTTCATTTTTCAGATGATTGTATTTATTATTTATTAGACAACAGACTAAATTTTTATCTTTGTCTCTTTGAAATTTAGGTAACATAATCCATGGGTAAAGTTGGGAAGATGTGGAACAGCTTTAAATACAGATGCCAGAATCTCTTCAATAATGAAAGTGGAAACAGAAATGAAAATATTGATGTGAACTCCAATAATTCATCTGTTAGAGATAAAAGTGCTTTTGTGCTTGATCCAGTGGATCAGCGATCAAGCAGCCCTTTAAGAGATGTTTCTTTACAGCTAAGTTTAAATCCTTCGAAAGCCTCTGCAAAAAAACATCAAAACTGTGCTGCTGAAATCCCACAGATTGTGGAAATAAGCATTGAGAAAGAGAGTGACTTGGGTGCCACCACAGGAGCTAGACTTGCACGAAGGGATTCATACTCACGACATGCACCATGGGGTGGTAAAAAGAAGCATTCCTGTTCTACAAAAACACAGAGCTCTTTGGAGAGTAATAAAAGATTTGGCTGCTGTCGGTTGCAAAGGCGAGAAAGGCGATACGGTGTGAGTTCTGTTCATGACACAGATAGTGTCTCAAGCAGGACTGTAGGTAATCGTTCTTTGCGGCAAAGGCTGCAGGATACTGTGGGCCTATGTTTTCCTGTGAGAACTTACTGCAAACAGTCCAAACCTCTGTTTTCAAACAAAAGAAAGATCCATCTTTCTGAACTAATGTTAGAAAAATGTCCTTTCCCTGCTGGGTCAGACTTGGCCCAAAAATGGCATCTAATTAAACAGCATACAGCTCCAGTGAGCCCACACTCAACTCTCTTTGATGCATTTGATCCATCTCTGGCTTCTACAGAGGATGAGGAGGATAGACTCCGAGAGAGACGAAGACTTAGTATTGAAGAAGGAGTTGATCCTCCTCCTAATGCTCAGATACATACTTTTGAAGCCACCGCACAGGTTAACCCATTGTACAAACTAGGGCCAAAGCTGGCCCCTGGTATGTCTGAGCTTACAGGAGACTGTACTTCAGCACCACAGGGAAGTTCTGACTTGGAGGAGGATACAACAACCCTCTGTTTGCAGTCACGTAGGCAGAAGCAACGGCAGATGTCTGGAGAGAGCCATAGCCACATCAGCAGGCAAGGAGCTTGGAAAGTGCATACCCAGATCGATTACATACATTGCCTTGTGCCAGATTTGCTTCACATCACCGGTAATCCATGCTACTGGGGAGTGATGGACCGTTATGAAGCTGAAGCACTTTTGGAAGGAAAACCTGAAGGTACTTTTTTGCTCAGGGATTCTGCTCAAGAAGACTACCTCTTCTCTGTGAGCTTTCGTCGTTACAACCGGTCTCTACATGCACGCATTGAGCAGTGGAATCACAATTTTAGTTTTGATGCTCACGACCCCTGTGTGTTTCACTCCTCAACTGTTACAGGGCTACTAGAACACTATAAAGATCCTAGTTCTTGCATGTTTTTTGAACCATTGCTTACAGTTTCCCTAAACAGGACTTTCCCTTTCAGTTTGCAATATATATGTCGGGCTGTAATCTGCCGATACACTTCATATGATGGGATTGATTGTCTCCCTTTGCCATCAATGTTGCAGGACTTCTTAAAGGAATATCATTATAAGCAAAAAGTTCGAGTTCGATGGTTGGAGCGGGAACCAATTAAAACAAAATGAACAGAGAATTCAGAATCCCCAGAAGCTCAATAGAATCTGTGCTTTTTATGTGTGTTTCAGTATAACTGCAATAAGCACATCAGTGTTTAGGGTTGTTGTTTTTTGGGGGCAATATTGTACTTTAAACTTACTGTGTTTACGAGTGTCAGATGCTGCCTGCAATTGGTCATACCTAGTTGTGAATACTTTTTTAAACAACATGCAAAATACAAAATCACATATTTTTTGGGAAAAAATGGAGACTTTTAGGATATGATTTGCCAGTTCTGAAATATGCAGGGCAGATGTTGGGCATTGACTTTTAAGTTCCATTCAGTTTCAAGATTCAGGCAAAGTGGGTGGCTTGCTTTTTTGTTTGTTTGACTATGACCACTTGATTACCAAAACCAAAAAAATCAACAAACACCTATCAGAGTTTAGTTTCCCCCATGCTAATTTCCTTATTGAAGCTAATTAACAAGGGAAACTGTCTCTTCACCTGGCACTTCTGAAACCCAATCATGTGCTTTAATTATCTGTTATATGACTCTGCTCGATAGCCAAATATTTAATTCTCCAAATTAAAGACATTTTAGTGAATTAATAATGTAAGCATAATTTAATCAACCAGTTAAAACTGCACAGATTTGCATGTAACAAAATAGTAGTTCTAAAAGAAAAGGCATACTTACAGAATAATGTCTGCATATAGTCCCCAGTATTATACTGTAAAAGAGGCATTTCTGGACTGCAGCCTTCTCTGAGGCTGTCACCCTCCAAAGTGATCAGCATTGTGTGGGGATGATGGGTTTTGAAGTCCATCACATCTGAAGTATGGGTTGGGAAGAATCCCATACTGCTTAATGCAGAAGGGGGACTACTTCTTGAATTGCACATTCAACTTCTATAAGTATTTTAAATGTACATTTTTTAAAAACACACAAAGCTATTAAATTGTCGTTGTTTTAAGAATATTGAAAGAGTTTTAATTGCTTTGGTGTTGCAGTCCTAGAAGCAACACTTGAAACAAAATTCCATCACATGTAGGAAGTTTCATTTACCGCTAACTAAGCTGGGTGCCACTGTTGGTGTAGTTTTTGACCTTAACTCTGTTTCGCTCATAAGAACCATTGAGGAGAAACTGGAACTCCATATTAATTTGGGGTTTTTCAAGTTGATCTGCGGAGCACCAATTATGTGAATGCTCGGCTTATAATATAGAAAGATTATGAGTAAGTAAATTATTTTTCTGATAATGCAAATCATGGCAATTTTGTCCAAGAGTCAATTACTGAATAGGGCCTGGCCTAGGACCCCTGCTTTTCATGCCATCCTTGTTCCATAATCTATGCCTCAGGTCTAGGGCCCAAGATTTCTGTAAAACACATTGGTTTTGATAATGTCTGTACTGAAAAAGAAGATATTAAAATATGTAATGTGCTTTCATTTATACAAGAAAGTTGCTTGGGGTCTCAGTGGATCACTTAATTATTTTTTCATTCAAGTGGTCTGCAAAAGTTTACTGCTATAGTAACCTGTTTTTTTGAATGGTTCAAAACAGTATTTTAAACTTCTTCTACAAACTGTTAACGACCATCTAGCTTACATATAACTTCTAGCTGATCCAACATACTCACTTTTTACCCCACTTCTCCGTCCCTTCCTCTTCCCTTTTCAATTCATCAAAATTAAAATTTCAGGCTTCATAGGTACTCTTGTATTTGTAAACTGTGTAGCACTTTGGGCGGGAGGGTTAAACTTGTAGATTGTGTTCCTTCTTCAGCAAATGCTTTTGGCAACTTGCTCTTTTGCTTCCTTTTTCTCTCTTTGTGGACGGAACATGAATTGTTTTGTCCTAGCTGTGTTTGCACTAAAATTTGTGTTGGAGTATGGCGTCCCTTGTTTTTTGCTGATGTATCTTGTACCAATGAGTAGCGCTTCTAGATTCTTAAACTGTTGCTACAGTATGTTCTTCTTCATGGCAGTGAGTGCGAGGTAGGGAAACTTCAAAGCTGCATATACAGGATAAATTATACTTGTATGCCAACACTAACTAGTTTATCACTATGTGTGTTTCCTTCTGCTTGCTGTGCCTTGTTACAGCATTTTTGTGCTAATAAAGTACCGTATTTTCAGTGTTATAGTTGTATATTTTCTCCTTTATATTTGCAGTAGTTCACATTTTGAATAAGCTTTATCTCATGGTTAGTATAATTGATATAAATAGTATGCAGTTAAATAATTGTCTCTCAGGTGACCAAACCTCAGTAGAAATGCAGTTTTCCAGAACTCCCAAATAAATAATTTACAAGTCTCCGGGATTGTTTCACACACCATATGGAAACTTGCATCCTTTAGGGAACAAAATACCTTATAGTTCCCATGATTTTTTTTGTCATGTCAGCAGCGACTTGAGAAACTGCAAGTCGCTTCTGGTGTGAGAGAATTGGCTGTCTGCAAGGACGTTGCCCAGGGGATGCCCAGATGTTTTGATGTTTGACCATCCATGTGGGAGGCTTCTCTCATGACCCCGCATGGGGAGCTGGAGCTGACAGAGGGAGCTCATCTGCACTCTCCCCGGATTCGAACCTGCAACCTGTCGGTCTTCAGTCCTGCCGGCACAAGGGTTGAAACCATTGCACCACCAGGAGCTTCAGTTACCGTGATGAAAGGCCACTATGGAATCGATAGTATTTGTTACATTGTGAGTGCAAGGCAGTGAAACAAATAGTTATTGTTAAACCACTGCATGCAGATGCCCATACAGAAACCAATGTGCCTGCCACATTATACTAATAACTACTTCAGACGTGCTTCCTAGAAAGCCCTTCTGATAAGGTAAATGGAAAACCACATATCTGAAAGTCATCTATGTTTATGCAGTTTTGACAGTTATATCTGTCATTCTGAAATAAAATATATAGTATACAACAGATCCATTCAAATGCCATTTCATGTTTTTGGATGAATGCATTTTAAGAATTTTGTTATAAATATTCCACATTTGATGTAAAAACTTGATGGCTAAATACAGTACATTGTCCTAACGAGAACATATGTACTCACACAATGGGAACTTAGTAAATCAGGACTCCTCTAATTCTGCATGTGTAAAAGAGGCGCAATATTATTTGGTATTTTAAGATAAAATGGGCTAGCCATATGAGACCATAGAAAAATCTTTGTTTTTTCACCTTTATCCAACATAGTCCTCTTTAGCTGTGTTGCAGTACAACTTTTGACATTACACTAGTATGAGCAACGTCTGGCTGATATCCGATTGAATAGAGTGGCTTATGCCTATCATATTGTACCAGGAGACACTGATTAATGCAGGATCCGCCATATTTTTTACAAAGTCCTTTAAAATATGGTTTTGGTTTCTGCACAAAATAGCTAGCGTTCCAAGGCTTTATCCAGTTTTCTAGCCATAACCTTTATACAGTGGGTCTTCATTTTGAGTTGAGATGTAAAGGATAGCTATATAAATTACATTTGTATTTCAGCATTGTGCACTATATTAGATGTTTGGTTTTAAATTAATTTGCATTGTCAAAATGTAACATGCATTCTGATTCTTAACCAACTTAAATCCCATTATAAAGTGAGCTCTGGGTCATTGTTCTCATATGGTGGAAGAGTGGTTATCTCCATTCTTCCTATATATCTACGTAATTTAACTTTCAAAACAAGTTGTGCATGAAGTCCTAATATGCATGATGATTTTCCTCTCAAAGAACAGAAAGGGGAAATATGCACAGTGGTTCAATGTAGAGTGCCTGTATTACCTTGTTTGGAAGGGAGGGTTGCCACCCCATCAGACATCATGTGACATAACCTAAAACCAGCCAGCATTTTTGTAACCAAAGAGTTTGAAGGAACACGTCTACTGCATAGAACTTTCAAAATCCCAAATGAAATAATTGTATTTTAAACTTTTATGTAATATGCAATTCCACAAATTATAAAAATGCGTGTAATTAAACATTTGTGGCTCATAATATTTTCCAAGGAATGTAGTCTCAACAGAATTGTTCAACTTTCATCTTTAAAGATACAATACTGGAAGATACAAAAATGGGTTAACTTAGGGTGCATCTACACCAGGCATGTGCAAACGAAGGCCTGGGGGCTAGATGCTTTCCTCAGAAGGACATGGCAGCCCACCATGTCCTTATGCAAGAAAGATGGGGGAGGAAGGCACATAGCAGCTGAAAGCCCTCTGGAGCAGCCCTGTCCTTATACTGGGAGGGCAACCTGAAGATGATCCAGGTCCTGTCCTACCCCCTCCTAGACCTGTCCTCTCCCAGACCCTCCCCCTTCCAGGCCCGCCCCACCCAGGATATGCCTGGCCCTCTCGACCATGCCCACGATGGGGCCCCAAGACAAAAAAGTTTGTCCATGCCTGATCTACACTATATTGAATGCAGTTTGCCACCACTTTGGCTGCCATGGTTCAATGCTCTAGAATCATGGGAGTTGTATAATCCTGTAGGCTTCTTTGCCAAATGCTGGTGCCTCACCAAATTACAAATCCTATAATTCTATAGTATTATGTCATGATAGTTACAGTGGTGTCAAACTGTGTTAATTCTACAGTGTAGATACGCCCATAAACTCCTTGAAAACACTATAAAACCTACATTGGGCTAAGTCTGAATGGCTGTGGGCAGCTGAGAGCTAGCATCCTTCTCTTGGAATGACAATGTTCTTTGACTTGGCCTAAACTGCATTCCCTGTATTTTCAAATGTTACCAGATTTATATTGTAGAATTCCTCATGTTTTTTCTGCACATGTAAGTACTTCTCATTAATATTAAATGTTAGCATGTGTTCAGTCTGTGTGTGGGTTTGCATTATGCAGCCTTTAGGATTATAAAGTACTCTAAAATCAGCTGTTTACATTAAATAAGAGTAACCAGCATGAAATTGTGTTAAGGCATACCTCCCCCCCCCAAAACAACAAATTAATTCACACTGGGTTCTTTGCTCATTACAATATTGTTTTTTTTTCTATTGAGGATTCCTCTGAAATGATTCAAACCATGCACTTGCTTTTTTTGTACTACAAGAAAATGCTTTTTATAAATTTCAATTTGAAAAGAAAAGGTGCTTTTTTTTAATGTGTATATCTTTTGCTATTTTACCTAACCAGTGCCTTCTCAAGCCTTGCCTTGTAGTTCTCAAACTAAAGAGGGTCTCTTTTAGCAATGGAAGAGGATGCAGTTCAAGTGAAAGGGGATATTGCAACAAGCAGAGCCCAAAACTCTTTCTCCGAGGCAAAGGAAAGCAGAGGTTTAGTATTGCGGCTGCCAATATTGCTATGCAAACTATGGAAGCTATAGAAAAAAAGCAGGAACATATGGAAGCTTCTGGCTATAGCAGCTGCTCACTCTTCCCAGGCTGGCTAGTTTTAAGAGCAAGTCAGAGGTGCCCTATTTTAATCCTCTCCTAATAGATTAGTGCCCTATCTAAAGATCCTTATTTGATTTTGTTTAAAAACACTTATACCTCACTCTGAGCCATCTCAGCCCTGCAAGGCAGTTCACAGTCAAATATTCAAACAGATATGTCATAATAAATACAGCAAAGTAAATGGAAAGCTGAGAAGTCAACGTAAGCAAAAACTATTTTACTCTCAATTGCCTGGACATGGTGTCTTTTCCTCTCAAAGACAAAACTTAGACCTCCAAGTGGCTACATTCTGTGGCACTGTCACCCACGTGATTGTAAACATATTTCAGCTACTTGCTATATACTGGTTTTCCCATCAAATTGTTGCCTCTACGGTTCCATTAATGCAGCCTGACAACACTTTAACTGCTGTGGTTCAGTGGTTTGGAAATGCGAGTTGTAATTTGGTGAGGCACCAGCACTATTTGGCAAAGAAGGCTATGGGCGTTGTGAAACTACAACTCCTATGATTCCATAGCATTGAGCCATAGCAGTTAAAGTGGAATTAAACTGGTGTTAATTCTACAATGTGGATAGACCTAATGATATTAATTTTGTCTTTGCCATTGTAACATTTTTGTGTGCCTTCAGTTGTTTCCAATCTAAGGCAAACCTAGGATGGGACTTTCATAGCAAGATTTCTCAGCCAATGTTTCCTGTTGCCTATCTCTGGGGCTGAGAGGGTATGAAGGTCAACTGATAGGTTCCCATGCCTGAGCAGGAATTTGAACTCTGGTCTGCAGAGATGTAGTCCAACACTCAAACCACTATACCACACTCCAATGTATGACAAAAAAGTCCCGTACTATTTGCAGTGAGCCATGATGCATATAACAATAGAAATGTCATACACTGCCTGTCAGTAGTTTCCAGAATGATATGTTAGTCTGTTTCAATATAAGAGGGTTGGAACTTTAATAGTGGCAACTATTTATTTACATAGAATACAAAAGTGATATATGCCACCAAGTTTTACAGTCCTTCAATATAGTTGCCAGCATTGTATACAACCCATTTCCAACGATGTGGAAGTCATAGGACACCTGTTGCCGTGCCTGTTCTGTTGATAGTTCAAATGGAGCAGTCTACTGCCGCAAGAATCTCTGGAACAGTTCTGAAGCGAATGCCACAAAGTGGTTCCTTCGTCTTAGGAATTAAGTCAAAGTCACAAGGGCTTAAGTCTGGGGAGTATGGTGGATGGTACAGCACTTCCCAGCCCCATCGAGCCAGCAAATCAGTAGCTTGATCTCATTCTCATTGAGATCAGGAAAGTCCACATCAACTACAACCATAATACAACTGGCCTTCTGGTGTATTAATAATACCTGCACCTCAATGGATTGTCACCTTGTTGTGGTGAGGGGGCTTGTGGGTCACATACTCCCAGAAGGGGCTGCAGGGGAGGTTCCAGACCAAGCACAATCCGAAGACCTGAAGACCTAAATGGCGGATCAGTCAGAAGATAACATGGTACATGTTACAATGGCTGTGAAGGCGGAAGAAAGCTGCAACAGATCGAGAAGCCACTGTCATCATGTTAATCATGCCACTGGTTGGATCCTCACTCTGTGAAGATTGTGTGTCGATCGGCTGCGCATAACCGCTTCACATTGAAACACACACACACAGGCATCTTCCAAGAAAAATAAAACCAAACCAACAAAAGTCCCATGGTGATCAGCGAGTG